CAGAGAGGATCATGGACTTAATGTCCGTTCGGACGGCCCCAACGCCCATCATCAACGACGCTGTCGAGAGCAAACCATCGTTTGCGCCCAACACAGCGGCTCTAAGCCACTGTGCTCGTTTTGAGTAATCAAACACCTCAATTTCAAGTCCTTCCGGGGTTTGTTGTCCTTCTATATCGTTCTTAGGTGTGTTTTCTTGAGTTTCGTTAAAGGATCTTTGTGGGTCATTTGGTTGTCTGGTTGTTGCCATCTTAGAGAGAGGAAAAAGAAGAAGATTATATGGATACACAGAGAGCTATTTATATGGTGCACTATGTGTGTGTGTGTGTGTTTTGATGGAATTAAAGAAGAAGGAAGAGAGAGAGAAAAGGGAAAAGAACGGTATGTGTATGAGACTAAGAATATGGATTGGAAGTAGTGTGGAGGACACACGCCATGGGAGGGTGGATATTTATCGGGGAAAACATGAACCGTAGGAGAAATGTTGATGGCCATCTGGGGCAATTTGGGCTTAGGATGAAGGTTTTGGAATCTGATGCCTTCACACTTGTGATAAAAGCATATTCAAACTTGATTTTTGTTTGTTTAGGAAAATATTGGTAAAACAAGCTGGGTTGGGCAAAAGAGTACATCCACCTGAAATGGAGTAAATATTGGTTGTAACAGTTACCAGTTTAATTGTTCAATGATAAACAAATAAGTGGACAAGTGAATCCTACTTTTTTTTATACGTGTTGATTACTATTTTACATGGATGGTTAGTTATTTAAAAGAGTGGATTCCAATTTTTTCTATTTGTTGAGGTTTTTCTCTCTCTATTGTTCAAAGTTTACTTTTGTAAGGCTCCATTACAAGGAATCTAATCATACAAACATTTGGAAGTGTGAAAACTATGGATTCCATCTTTGTACAAAGTATGATGCAGACACCACTTGCCTAAGCTAAATCCCACTTTTGATCTTCTCTAAATTGCAGATTCCAATTAAATATGCACAGGGAGTGTGGCAGCCACATGCTCTTGTTGACAATTTGTCGAACAGGTGGAGTATATACCCACAGCATTTGTTTTCTCTTTTCAACGGCTCTATCATGATTGGTTAGGGTATCACTACCATGAGTACAAACCCCAGGCGGAATATATATATTATATTATATTATTAGTAATAACTTGGCGTTTGAAGATATTCTATGATACAAAAAATTGAACATTTATTGTACAATATTTTAAATTTATTTTTTCTATTTAATCAAAAATTTTAAAATTAAATTAACAAAAATAAAAATAAGAAAGAGGTAGGGGATAGAGATGAGAGGTAAAAGTGTGAATTGATGGGTTTGTTTGGGTGTGGAGTAAAAATGATATTTTTGATCGGAAAAATCAATTTTGGGATGAATTTTGTAGATTAGGTTAATCTTAAGTTGTACTTTTATAAGTCAAGAATTTAATTTACTAGTTGTAATATTAATTTTTTTTTTGTGTACATGCATATATAGAGAAAGTGAATTTCATTTAACATTGAAATACACAATTATTTCAATGACGGCATTGAATCATATCCTTGATTTAACTTTGAAAAATGGACAATTTGTTTAGACTGACAAAAATTTTGATTATTTTAATGTGGCTTGCGTGTGGATGCCACACTCCCCTCCATATATTACGATTTAATATCTGAAAACCTTGTCAGCAACGCATTTGTTTATACCATGATATGATTCGATAAATATTAAAAACAGTGTGTCAACTGATTCAGAAAACATGTATATATTATTGCTGCCAGTAACTAATTTACAAAATAGATCAATTCTAGCCAGTAAAAGACGGGAGTTGAAGCAGCGATAAGGTAGTTTTATTATAATTTATGTGTCACGAGCTCAAATTCAGAAAAAGTCTCTTCATATGCGGGTAAGCAAGCAAAACGAATATATCTTAGCTTGTATTACATTTGGTGGAAAACCTAACTTGTTTCTAATTGATTTTATCCTTGCGATTGGGGCAATGACGCAACTAGTGAGGTCATAACCAAGGTGTGTCTTCTGCTGGTTGAACATTTTCTCCAATCCCTCGAAAAAAAAGAAATTATTATTTGTACTTAATTTGAGGATATAATTTAGATGTCCTACATATCTTATACTCACTATTTACCAATGAAATCTAAACTCAACCCAGATAGATTGGACATGAAGCTCTAGCAATGGCGTCGATTCTCTTGGCCGAGAAGGGTTTAGGTTGGTTGAAGTGAGAGTTTTATCTGTAGATTGTAGAGATAGAAGCTCTCGTAAACCAACTCAAGTGGGTGGAACAAGCATTAAAATTGAATCTATATATATTCTTTCTCCAAGAATTTGAAGTCATGCGCCTCACCAACATAATTTTTTTTTGGGTAAGTATCCAGAGAGAACTTTTGTCCTCCCACATCAACACTAGAGATATATATGTATATTGTATGTTTATGCATATATTAGGGATGCAGATGGTACTTGTTATTCCATATGCTTTGATGATTATAAGAGCTCACTTACCTTCAACATTTTATTTTATTTTTTTGATCTTGATAAACTATCATGTTCTGGGTTGAAAATCCACGATGTTCTCTTGGTTGCAGCTTCTTTTAAATTGATTTCTCTCCATAAAAGAAAGTTTCAACCTGAAGATTTCATAGACCAATTACAGAACTTAAGTTTAATGGAAGTATTGAAACACAACGTTCGATTTCTACTTGGGGCTCAAGGACAAATTTGGGCTTAATGGAATATGTGTCTAAAAATTTTATTTGAGGTTTACTAAAAATAAAATTGGACTTAACTAGACATTTGTCTAAAAAATTTATATAGAGCTCTAAAAATAATTACACTTGAATTTAAAAAAATTATTTGAGACCCTGAAAATTGAAGGGACGATTGTCCAAGCCCTATATGTTATGTTTTGGGCAGCCATTAGTTATTCATCAATGTTATTTCAGAATATTTTTCTCTTATTTTCCTTACGAATTTAAGTTTGGGTGAATTTGTTCTTCTATAGAGAAACATAATTATTTTCTTTGTGGTCATCCGATTTTAAACTAAACATAATGCATCTCTATCTGCAATTAATAAAGACTATGTAATTAAAGGTGTCAAAGGAGGGGAAGGAACTTCTATATCATGCTTAACAGAATCATTCCTATCAGTACAGGCAGAATTATTTTGTACAGTCTTTTTATAAGTTAACTTTAAGCTAATGGATGGAGAATCTCTTAGCTCCAAACTAAGAGCACTATAAAGACCTTTTATAGGCATGCTGGTTAATGGGGTTTGATGGAAAAAAATGAAAAAAATAAGTAGACAAAACAAAAAAAAAAAACTAATGGGCACTGCTGGAAAAAGGGAAAAGAATAGTAGTATGTCACCGACTTGTAACCCTAAAACTTATGCTATTAAGAGAACCGTCCAAGACCATATAAGCCCACATGACACCTTATACCTAACCGATGTGGGATTCGTGGAAAGTAGTTAGGTCTTGTATATACTCTCGACTTGAGGCTCTTGCTTCAATTTTTAGTAGTTCAGATTCCGTCTATATATTCTTGAAGATCAATTATTGTATAAGAAGACCCACTCCCACGTAATTGTGGCATAACATTTTAAGTTTAATGTTCATTATTAAATTGAATCTATAATTATTAGAAGGGGAATTACAATGTCTTGTTTATTAATTAGGAAGGGGAACTACTCGAACATGATTTATTAACCTAATCATTTTCTATCATTAGATTGACAGGATCCTACTATTAGTTAGAACCTATTATCAATTTAATAGTTTTTATGTCTTAGATCCGTAAATTAACTTCAAATAATATTTGAGAGAGAGAGTGAGCTACTGTAATTGCAAAAGTATATTACAAGCACAACAAAATTATACATACATAATAACTTTTTTAACAGCACAGTACATGAATCAGGAGAAAGATAAAAAGAAAAAAAAAGGATAAAATCACAAGCCAAAGAAAAAGGATTTAAACCCTAATTGTAGTGTTATTACAGTCCAGTAGAGCCAATCAAGTTGGTTAAGCCAAAAGTGATAGCCATCCTCCAATCAGTATCCTCAATGAAGACTTCACCACATGTAGGGGTGTTCACCCTATTTTATGGGTAGAAAATATAATTTTTTGTTTTCCTACCCGATACTTTGCGGAAGAATTTTTTTTTGACTTACCCTATCCGATCAGGTGTGGTATTCTTTCCCGACTTTCTACCCGATTAATCGGGTAGAAAGTCGGATAAACATTTTTGTAGCTAATAATTTTTAAATCATTTTAACAATTCAATTAAATAACATGCACTAATTTAATAACACAATAAATCAATAACACTAAAACCTAAAACAACTATAACAACAATTACAATAAAACATAAAAAAATATGAACATCAATCTATCATAATTGTTACACAAATATAGTAACAATTATTTTAAGTTTAAACTATATAAAACACATTAAAATTATAACTGTTTTAATAGATTGTTAGTTCACCACAAATCATGTAACCTACACAAAAAATAAGTTTATATTTTAGCAACTCAAATATCCACAACAATAACAATGTTATAATATAAATTATACCACACAAATACTTTTATAATTACTAAAAAAATATAAAAAAGTTAAGAGCAATGTTATATGGATTTAAAAATTAAACTTGATAATTTAAACAATTGATTTCACTGTGGATCCCAGCATTTATTAGGACTCATTACTTATTCAATGATTGATGGGTATTCCGCATTCTTATTCTATTTAATCGAAATATCAAAAACTCTTTCGTATTTCTATCTAATTTTTGTGACTAGACATTCAATAAAATAGAATAAAATCGAATAAAATAAGAAATTGTAACCAATCAAAAATTTAAAGACTTCTAACCGCTGGTTTTCCACCCAAGTATGCACCAAAACTTCCAAACCCTAGAAGTGGAAAAGTCACAACCCCTGCCACCACCCCTAACCTCACATGATAGTCCTTTATAAACGCCACCCCCGCAACGGCAGCTCTGCCCCAGCTGCAAAAGCCGAGGCTGACGCCGCCGCCGCCTGCAACGGGTTCGGCAAGTCCTTATTGTCCTCCAACTCAATCTGTGTAACCCTATTCTCTCTCTTCATCTGAGCCACCTCGATGTCATACTTTGAGTACACGGAAACAAACTCTCCGATGGCCATACTACAGACACCGCCAACCAACCCAGCTGTGGCGGAGAGGATCATGGACTTAACGTCGGTTCGGACTGCCCCAACGCCCATCATCAACTACGCGGTCGAGAGCAAACCATCGTTTGCAGCCAACACAGCGGCTCTAAGCCACTGGGCTCGTTTTGAGTAATCAAACACCTCAATTTCAAGTCCTTCCAGGGTTTGTTTTCCGTCTATATCGTTCTTAGGTGTGTTTTCTTGAGTTTCGTTAATAGATCTTTGTGTTGCCTGGTTGTTGCCATCTTAGAGAGAGGAAAAAGAAGAAGATTATATAGATACACAGAGAGCTATTTATATGGTGCACTGTGTGTGTGTGTGTGATGGAATTGAAGACGAAGGAAGAGAGAGAAAAGGGAAAAGAAGGGTATGTGTATGAAACTATGAATATGGATCGGAAGAAGTGGAGAGTACATACCCCATTACCCGGTTAAAATTTGACACAACACGATTAATTAATACGAATTAAATAAATTTAGGTGATAAACGGATTGACACGTTAAACAATTTAATAAATAGTTTGTGTTTGGGTGAGACTAGTCAAATAGTTTATCACACATTTATCCGTTTAAATAAAATTAATATAATAAGAAATTAATAATTATTTTAAAATATTAGCAAAAAAAAAAAAGTAAAAAAATTAATAAAAAAAAAAAAAAGTAAAATAGTAGTTCAAAAACAAAAGAGAGAAAATGGAAAACACTTTAAAGACAAAGTCAAACCAATGCATTTTATTTTTGTTCCACATTGAAAAATGAGGAGGGCTAATTGTCTGTAAAAGGCAATAACCTCTTGCTTTTTTTTTAAGCCTTTAAATTTTATTTTTGTGAGATTTTGTTAAAAATTATTCTTTTTTGAGATAAGTGCAATTGATAGTAAAAAAAATGGAGTATTAAAATTTGTTGATATAATTTTTTTTAAAATTAAACGGGTTAAAACAAGTCTGTGTTACCCATTTATTAAACGGATCGTGTTCGTGTTGAAATTTTTTACCCGTTTATTAAATGTGTCATATATAAATTTATATATTTTTTTACTTATCACCGATTTAACCCGATATTTTTGACACCCCTACACACCATGGGAGGATGGGTTTAAATAGGGGAAAACATGGACCGTAGGAGAGATGTTGATGGCCAGCAATATGGGCTTCGCTTACTGTGAAGGTTTTGGAATCTGAGGCATTCACACTTGTGTTAAAAGCATATTCAAACTTCATTTTTTGTTTGTTTAGAAAAAGAGAAATGATACATGAATTTAAAAATTAAATTTAATAATTAGAATAATTAATTTTATTGTAAGTCTCAGTATTTATTGGGGCCTATTATCTATTCAATGGTTAAAATTATCAAATCTAATTTTTAAGTCCACCTAGTATTTCTTTTAAAAAAATATTGGTGAAACAGGCTGAGTTGGGCAAAACAACACGTGCCCTTAAGGAAATATCAGGTGTAACGGTTACCCAATTTAAACAATAAGTTAGCAAATGAATTCTACCTTTTTTATACATTCTGATTACTCTCCTATATAGAGAGTTAGTTTTTTGATGGAGTGGATTCCATTTTCTCTAATTATTGAGTTTTGATTACTCTCCTATATAGAGAGTTAGTTATTTGTGTCATTTTCTCTAATTATTGAGTTCTCATTTATCGGTAACATCACATAATAATATTGACGTAGTATAACTGTTACTTTTAATATTTACTCATGAAGAAATGAGGGCTATGTTGGTGGGTCCCATTAATTTTATATTTAAGCACGGGGTTACACTTAGGTATGAAAAAATATTTTTTTTTGTAAAATGCCCCTTTTTTTTAGTCAATTAACTCATGATATGTGAATATTTTATTTTTTATTTTATTTTATTATTTTAACGATCATCAATTACAAATAACTCAAATTAAAATCTTGAAAATTGGGTATAGAATCAATTTCTTTGGACCTATTCCAATTAGTCATTTGGGAAATTATCATGATTCCAATTTCCAAATATCAGTTTTGTTGGCTGCCATTACAAAATTTCTTCTTTCAAATTGGTGAATAAAACATTTTTCTCTCACAACCAAACGAGGGGGCCATTTTGCACTCGAATCATATTTTATTATGAATAATTCTATTTGAACTTAAAAAATTGACTTAATGATGTAATTTTATTAGAACCATCGGATTAACACAAAGTTTCAATATTTGATGAAACTCATAATCAATCCGAACGTTATGATAAATTAGGTCAACAAAATAAATTAGGCTCTAATAACATTTAAACTCAAAGATTCATCTGTTTTTCTACAGTTAATTATATTTCAAATGCTGTAATTTGTCGCCTCCAAGTTTCAAACAAATTAAATTAACTTACGATAGTGGTTGGAGCAGAAAAATACCATTAAACACTCCATCTTGTATATTATTTCCCATATATTTTTTTTTGAGATACCAATTCTATTCCTAAAGAATAAGGAAACGAAAAAACTAAGAAAAAAATACATTTGTTCAACCCAACACTAACATATTGCACAATACCATGGTCATTTACCTCCGCCCAACAACAACACATTCAAGCAAGTAGGGGCGGAGGGACGCATGGGCCAGGGTGAGCAAGTGTCCCTCCCTTTAATTTCTTTTTATTTTTTATTAGTTAGATATATATATTATATATTTATATAATATATTATTTATGTCCATCCAAAACCTAAAATAAAAATGTAGGCCCACATTATTTATCTAAAAGAATTAAAAAATTAAGTCCATTTAAAACAAAAAAAATTGAGCCCACCACTATTTACCTAAACTTATTAAAAATTCAAATATTTGATCTATCACAATCCATCCAAACTTATTAAAAAAATAAAAATTTTGGCCTAACATTAAAAACAAAAATTTTGGCTCCCCCTCAATTTTTTGTTTGCTTCATATTAAACATATATTTTTTTAAATAAAATTTAGACATATTTAATTGTGTCCACCCTAATATTGCGTTCTGGTGATTTTGATTTAAATAGACCCTTACCTAAATGTTGTTAACTTTTTCAATAATGTCATTGAAACCTAATTTAAGGACCTAATACATTGCGAAATTAAGTGTAATGGTGAATCTTAATATGTAATAAACTCTATTATATATTCAATGGTCACAAACCATTGAGTCTCCATCAATTAAATATCAAATTAGGCACAACTAATATAATTGTTAACTTTTAGACATGTTTTAGACATGTCCGAATATGTTTTGAATATATTGATATTATTTTATAATTTTTTTAAATTGTAAGGCAATTTCGTCAATGTATAAAAATGTGTGTCGTTATATAATAAACTATAGGATCATAAATGAAAGATTGTTACTGCGATTTTATATATAAAAGAAATATTATTGATAAAATTAATTTGTAACTCTTTCAAATAATAAAAACATATCAGGATCAATTATGTGTAATAATAATTAGTTGCATTCTCGATAAAAAATTTTAATTATTTTTTTTTTGTTCATGTTATATATATTACACTTTATGTTAATTTAATTATATGTAATAATAATTTAATTATTTTTTAATTATATGTAATAATAATTTAATTATTTTTTTTTTGTTCATGTTAATTAGTTGCATTCATGTTATATATATATATCGATTTTTAATTTTTTATGTTTAAAAAGTATTAAATATAATTTTAAGAAATATACATTTATGAACTTTTACTATCTATTAAAAAAAATTAAAATATGTTAGTGTGTCCACCCTAAAATTTTTATCTGTCTCCACCCTTGCAAGCACGCACACTCTTCTTAGGGGTAATTGTATTTTTTCAATAAAATACAGATCATGTGAATTTTTCAAGTCTAATTTATGTTGTTTTTTTATAGTTTAAAATTAACTGTTAGGGTTAATTATAAAATATTCAAATTTAAAAGGGCTATTTGATGAAATTGAAACCTAAAAAGGTAAATAACGAAAGAGAATATTTTGTAATTACCCATTTATTCTATTACACTTTCACTTAATGAAACATCATGTATAGATAAAGAGTTTACTTATAAATAATAAATATNACGAAAGAGAATATTTTGTAATTACCCATTTATTCTATTACACTTTCACTTAATGATAAGTCATACATCATGTATAGATAAAGAGTTTACTTATAAATAATAAATCTCATCTAAATTCATAGACTTAAGTAAATTGTCTATCTATAATAATAGATTCTACTTGAATTCATAATAATTAATTTAAAATTGAGTAAAATTAATCAAGAACGTAACGAAGAAAATCTCAATTCATAAATTTCATTTAATTTTGATCAAAAAATTCTCATAAGAAAGAATAAGAATATGTTGCGAAAGTGATACCACGTAATTACTGACACATGGTAACACCACTCAAACATTTTGCATTCATTTCCCAAAGATTAATCGGGAATCACTCGTCTTTCTTTCTCATTTTGTCTTCCCACGAAGGTCTGCTCACACAGTTCTTTGCTTTTATAATTTGAGTTAAACCCGAGTTGATGTTTTAACTCACCCGATCTATCCGACCCTGCGTTGCACCCCAAATCATTTTTATTTTTTTTTGGGATGAATGACACTTCGTAAAGTAACAGATTCTCAAATTTTAAATTTACTCTTTGAAATATTAAAAATTTCACACTACATCTCAATCAGATAGAAAAATGGCTATGTAATCTAAAAGTAAATATTTGTTACATTTTTTCGACAAATTCTTTATTGTATTTGTCATATTATCCTTAGGTCTGACAATCGTGTCGAGTGGAATGATTTCGTGTCGGGTGGAATGGATTTATGTCAAAAAAATCCTTCATTCATACCTCATTCGTTTATATGAACGAGTCCAACTATTACATCCATACATGAATCATTTATTAGACGGTTTACCCGATACAACCCGTGTATCACCCGTTAAATAAGAGAATATATTAAAGTATTTCAAGTTCATACAAGAAATCAACTTACCACACATTATATATGTTTGACATATTTACTATAACAACAAATCATAGCTGAGCAAAAAAATAAAGACAAAAAATAAACATTAAATGACAACTATGGGAGGTGTGAGATGAGACAAAGGCTGAGAGACTTAACTTTTTTAAAAAAAATTTACAATACCATTGTTAACGGATTAAACGAGTTAAAACAAGTTTATAGGTTACACATAAAACCGATTCGTTTTTTTTCCGAATCTATTGAGTTAACCCGTTAATACTACACTCAAACCGGCTAAATTCGTGTTAAATTTGTGTCGATTTTACAAGTCATGTCTAGAATTGCTAAGCCTAATTATCATATTTCTATATACACTTGCTTACTACTCAATTTTAAGCATTTTAAGTAAAAAAAATAAAAAATAAAATAAAGGTACTCCAATTTTTTTAAAAATTATGTCCATTATTACCTTTTTATTTGATTG